AACGCTGCCGGCGATGACTTGCGGTAACCCGGGTAAACGGGCCGCCATGTCAGACCACGGAGGCCCCCTACCACCCCCCGGTGAACACACAGACGGGATTCTCGTTGCGCTAAACGGCCAGTCCAGAAGATGCGACGGCGGTAAACAGAGTCGCCGTTGCTGTGACAGCACGAACCTCTTTGGATTTTCCGAGTGTCATTTCTGAGACAACACGAAAATAGCAACACCCCCTCCCACCCCCACCCACCCACCCCCGCGCCAAGATAGCGCCACTCGAGTTACGTATAAAAGTGATGAGGACAGGAGAGAGCTCGCTCGCGCAAGAACCATCGGGCCCATCTGCCGCGTGATAGCTTCAGCTTCTTTTTCTTTTTTTTATGAAAGACACTTACCCCTCCCACCTGTCCACGTCGTGTGACTCGAAACGGCGACGCACGGGAAATTCGAGAACGCGTTCGGAGGCCAGTTCCCGGCCATGTAGGGGCGGCCAATTCTGTAAGCCAAGTCTTGGGGATTGCTGGAATGATCTCGGGGTGTGCGCGAGAGGAGGAGGAGGGCTTGGCTCATCTTTCACGTGCCACGCACCGAAAGCTCGGCGTCCACGTTCCTGAGGACGAGCAGAAGTCAAAGAATCCTTGATGCTGCTCAACGAGCCAAGCCAACGGAGGAAAAAAATCTCAGTGGTCGGAAGGACCGTGGCAGCTACGTTAATAGCTTTGCAGTGCAGTCCGATTCTGGCCTGTCGAAGCCGCCTTGCGAATTGTTATTGCGTTGCGGCGTTGGGAAGTCTGGTTTAGCCCTCAGCAGTATTTGCACATTAACTGTGTTGAAGTGGCATATTAGAGCAGAAATGGAAGCCCGTTGAGGATATTCGTATTATTAGTGCACGTTTATTGTCTGGCATTTATTCAATGTTCTCCATGTTTAATTGATTTCCATTCTCCTGAACAGCCTGTTTTCAGAAAGTGATAAAATTGGTCAATGCACCAGATGTCACGCGGAGAACTTTACTCATAGAGCCGGGCAAACGCTGAATGCACGCGCAGTAAAATTAATCTACCACTCGGTAGCAAAAATGCCGGAGTGTAGATGCATTTCACCGTTTATTGAAACGATGCGTGTGATCGTTTGGTAATGGGGGTCCACGTTTAAGTTTGCGGCCGTGGGTTTTCCTCAAAACAGATGAACTGTGAGCCGTAACTAAATGTCACAAGCACTAATGTGTGCGTGGGTGTTCGTTTGTTCGCATGCTTGGAATTTTTGCATGCATTTATAATTTTTTTGAAAGTTATTTGGCAGATGTTGGGTTATTTTTAGCAGATGAAAAGTAAAATTTGTGTGCGTTTGTGTTTATTTGTTGTTGTTTGCCTTTGTGCGCATTGTCAGCGGGCTTGCTACAGTTGCACGTTAATTTAGAATATAGCTGCTGTGGGCTAGAATAATTACGTCATTGTCAGATCTCTTTTGATTGGAGGAGTAATCCCAGCCAAAAACTATTACTGTTTCTTCACATTGTGATAAATGTTAATTTGAACAATGAGAAAAAAGAAATAGTTAATTGGAAAATTTTGCTCTATGCCAATGGTAATATATTTCCGTTTAGGTTGGCACTGGGTTTAATCATGTTATTGCCCTAAACTCGGAAATGATTACACTTTATGATTGTAGCCATCTTCTTGGTTCTTTCGATAAAGTCACGTAGAATGGAAATAAAATAATAAAAATAAAACACAATCAAATAAAATTCTCACGACGTTTCGGCCACAACACAAGTAGCCTTCTTCAGGTGAAGGAACAGAACTGTCGGGACGACAGCGCTTTTTTTTTCGACGTAGAATTGTAATGTATAACGACTTATTGTTAGCAGCTCAGCTCATTGGAGCGTATATTGAGTTTATTGATAATATTGATGTAGTTTATATTTTAGTTTTTTTTTATCAGTTTACTATTTGGTATTCATTATATAGTGTAGTGTATACCCAGTTACTTTATGTTAATAGCTCAATTTATTGAAGAATATATTGAGTACATTTATTATACTGATGTAGTTTATACTTAGTTCTTTCACAACGGCTTATGGTATGATAGTTGGGTAGTTGCAGTTCTTTAGCGTCAATATACTAAATGCCTCTGTTGATATGTAAACTCTGACTTTAACATAGCTAATTCCGTGACCAGTTACATGCTAATCCCTCACATTAACATCATGCTAATCTCCCAGTTACATGCTAATTTCTGACTTTAACACCCTGATAATCCAACACATTAACACAGCTATTTCAATGCTAAATTCTTCTGTTGATATGTAAACTCCTTTGTCAAGGTGCTCTGCTCCTCCCACCCAGCTTAAAAGACGCTGCGAAGCTTAGCAGCGTTCATTGAAGCGCTGTCGTCCCGACAGTTCTGTTCCTTCACCTGAAGAAGGCTACTTGTGTTGTGGCCGAAACGTCGTGAGAATTTTATTTCATTATGTTTTATTCTTATTTTATTTACATTCTACGTGACTTTACCGAAAGAACCAAGAAGATGAATCCCGGCAGTCACGAAAGCTTTAAATCGAAATTGTAGCCATGTGTAACATATGTTGGACTACGCCAATCAAAGTTCCCGAACGGCAAAAAGGCAGGTGTTAAATATAACCGCGTATTTAAACATGACCAGATATTGCAATCACAATTGGTGTTGGTCTTCGGCATTAAGTGAAATTGGTGGAGTGAAATGATCTGCACGGAGGCAGCCCACTCAGTCTGCCAAACAGATAGCACGTAGGACGTTCGTCAGTGAGAGCAACGAATGAAAAAAAAATCTCAAGAATTGAGTTGAGGCAAATTAGAATAAACACCACATTTCCGTTAACTCGTGAGGCAAGTCCAGCACACGACCTGCATCGAGGGAGGCTTGCTATAATTATCGCATGCCTGTCAGCGCCCTGCTGAAGGCACAGATCCCGAACTCTCGCCTGCTCTGCCAACCGTGCCTGATACACTTTGCCAGGGCGGGCCTTCTCTCTCTCTCTCTCTGTCTCACAACCGCCTATTGTCCATTGCCTCTACCACTCCGCCTATCAACATATGCCAAAAGCCACGCAAAAAGCAGGAGAAAACACACCACTGTTCTGAGAGAGCTACGCTGGACAGCTCCTGTTTAAGTGTACTCTGGGATGTACCGCATCATTCATGCGTTTGTGGTGAATCAAAAAAAGTATCACATTGGGCAAAACGCTCTCCCGTTTCACGCCGTATTACTTGAGGATGACCAAAAGGAAGGGTGAGATGAAAAGGGGAGGCAAAATACGTAACGGGCCGCCAGGTGCCTTAATTAATTAACTCAGCCAGGGGAAGGACAAACGCGAACATGACAGAGGGAGGGGCAGTCATCCTTGCGGCCTTAAATAAATAAATTAATACATCTGGGGTGGGGAGGGTGGAACAAGAAGGAAGACTGAGCACTTTCCAGATGGATGAAGAGTGATTTGAATTTTTTTGTTATTACATATCTAAAATTTTTTTTTTATTATTCTCCTTGTTCTCTTTGGCGTCGGGGGAGTTGACTGCCGAGGCTCAAGACGATGATTGCCCCAACTGGCGTGGTCAGGCACAGGCGGAGGGACAGTGATTTATGTTCAACAGGCAGCGCCCCCAGCCCCGGAGCGCCTCCTCCGCCGTCGTCTCTACCTCCTGTGTCCCCTGCCGGTCTCTCGCCGCCGTGACACCGTCTCGCCAAAAAAAAAAAAATCGCAAACCTCGCGCCGTTTATCACGCGCCGCGCAGATGCCTGCACGTCCCCGCAGTAATTATAGCGCCACTTATTTGACACGGCACGTGGGCTTTATTGGGCGGGGGAGAGACGCGGCGGGGGGGGGGGGAAATCGAATAAAAATTACGTGTAAATGCGAAATTATTTAAAACACGTGCGTGCTATAATAATGGTAATGATTTTGTCGTATCGTTTGATTTTAATCGGATTTGAAATTCCAGAGAGAAAAGTATATATTTGGCACCATCACCTGAGCTGCCGTTGAAGCTGTCAGTTACAGTTCACCTGTGTGGGATTTTCTCAATCACACGACACCGCGTGTCCTGCTCCTCCAGTGCCGCGGAGATGAGTCATGGCAGTCATTATGTTGGGCAAACCCCACTGAAAGCTGCAGTTGTTTTTTTTTATTTCAGGCACGCCAGCTGTCAACGATGTGAGTTTTTCAACAGAATGTTCCTCGGCGGGTCTGGGTTTTATTTTTTTGCGTGGGATTTTAGTTTCGTTTGCAAATCAGTTGCAATAATTCCACCCTAGGATGGGCTGGGAAGGGCTTGTCAGTTTTGTGAACAAATATGGAAAAAAAAACACAAGACTGTCACAATAATCTGCCTCCATAATAAATTAACTTTTATCCGTGGTTTGCAGAATTATGGGAGCGCGACGTTTCAACGCATTAACAGACGTCCGTTATCATTTCATATGGCACGCCCGTAAAATTGCAATCTGAAACGCATCGCAAACCCACCTTGCCGAACGGTGAGGAGTGCGCTTTTAGCGGTTAGCACCGAGATTGCTACCGAGAGCACGCCCGCCCCCCCCGCGTAGCGTGCGTGCACACACGTGTGCAATGCCCGCGCAATGTCTTCCGCCTTTGCGCCCGCGTCCGCGTCCGCCCCTCGTCCGTAGGAACGTGCCCTCGCATTGTTCAGAGTATTTGGCCGCTGCAACATTTCCACGCGGTGAGCCACTTCGCTGAGCTTTAATTTGTGGCCAGGCCTCTTCAGGAAAGGAAGCTGCGAGCTCAGTGGACCTTACTTTTTCGCGATTGTCTTACCTTTCCTATGGTGTTTTTTTTTGCACTGTTTGTTGTTGTTGTAACCACCCCCTACTGGATATCCGTGGAAAAAAAAGCTTTATAACTCATCGGATTTCTCGGGTAAAAAATAAAGATTCTTATTCTGTGTTTTCTGTATCGACGTATCTCCCCCCCCCCCCCCCCCCCCCCCAATGATCATTGTTCGCAGCAGACTGACGACATCATCCAGACAGACTGCACCCAGGTGGTCCCAGCCGAGAGTCCGGACGGGAAGCAACAACCCAAGCGTCTGCACGTCTCCAACATCCCCTTCCGTTTTCGGGACCCTGACCTCCGGCAGCTATTTGGGGTGAGGCGGCAAAAAAACACAAACCCTCCTGCACTACCTGTTCTCGGAGGCCGTCTTTTTCTTCATAAAAAAAAACAAATATTCTCTCGTGGCTGTCCGCAGCTTTGGTTGAAGTTCTTGGGAAGTTCGTGGAAACGTTTGTTTATTCGCGTCGTCTTTGGTTGCACTTCGAACGGTTCGGGTTTGCTGCTGTTAAGGACAGCACATGTCCATGCTATCATCAAGGACAGGATTCTGATTAATTGGAGATTGGGTTGGATGTCTTATTTGATTGTTTCAACCATGTGCTGTACAGTCCTATGGTCAATCCACCACTGGTTTAGGGTATCCCCACACATCACGCGGGCTGTTGGGATTACCCGACCATACTTGAACATGCCGGTCAACACGGATTGGCGGGAGAAGGCGGGGAGCATAGACCGTGCGTGGGAGGAAAGCAGCGCCGAACAACAATGGATTTAGCTGCGCTGCCCTCTGATGCTGTATGTTAGCTCAATAAATCACCGATCCAAAGGCCCTGAGCTGTCAGGTTATAGATGTGCACAACCTCCACCTGGAGGTGTTCTGAAATTAAAATAAAGCAAAAATTTGCATACGTTTTTACTGCCGTTACCCAATTTGCACAACAGCTGAGTTGTGGTGAAGTCACGCGGGATTGGGAGCCTCGTTGTCAACACTGAGGACCTTGGGGTGGGTGGGGGGGGGGGGGGCGATGGGGTGGCATTTAAATACAAACAGCCAGCAAGTAACGGACACGTGCACGAGTGTGAACCACCATCATGGTAGATGACCCGATATCACGCGACCGGCTTTATTTGTCATGAAGACGACGTTTGGTACACAAAAACTTGAGGGTTCCCAACCCCCCGCCCCCCCCGCTAAGAGAGTATCCTAAAGGCAGCCGCCAGCAGCATGCAAATGCAGAATAGCACGCGCACACACATCCATCAAGAGTGTTGTTAGAATCTGACCCGTTCAGAGATGTTTGTCATTATAAATTGTCTTTTCCTTTCCTCCCCAGCAATTTGGTAAAATTTTAGATGTGGAAATCATTTTCAACGAAAGAGGATCAAAGGTATGATGTCCCCCCCCTCTTTTTTTAATGCACGTTATAAATAATTCAAAGCATAAATATTGAATTGATGCTAATGGTTCTTTGAATATTTCTAAGCATTTATTGGAAAAAAAGTTTATTTTGATTAAAGAAGCAGAGATGCAAATTATTTGACCTTATGCTGATTACTTGATGGCAGCCCTTAATCCATAGGAATGTGTGACTTATGTTTGTAGTATAGCGAATGCCTTACTAATGTCTACCTTTAATGTTTTGAAAAGGCAGAAAGACAATGTTAATGCGTATTGTTGATATTTTTTACCTGCTCGCTGTATAATTTTGTACGTTTATAATGTGTCTAGCCCCTCGTAATATTACAGAACATTGTTGCATAGCTACGTCACAGTGTACGAAATGTACGTTCGTATAAATGTCGTTAGGCAATCGTTAACTTTTGCATACGTGCGCGGGTGTTTTTATCCTACATTTTAAATGAATGTGTAAGAGGAACATATTTTTTTAACAGAATTTGCTCATGTATTGCAGAAAATTCCGCGAAAAACGCAATCGTTTTGCACAGAGTCGTGTATAGAGGGGGTTTTGGACCACATTGGCCATAGTTTATCCGATGCAGGGTGAGACTGGAATTTAACGGCTTGGGGCCTGGGGGCCTGGGGGCCTGGGGGCCTGGGGGCCTGGGGGCCTGGGGGCCTGGGGCCCTGGGGGCCTGGGGGGCCTGGGGGCCTGGGGTATTGTGCGGCAGGTTTTGCTTTCTGAATGTCACAACAATGACCCGACGGGAAAATGTCTCTCTGTCCAGAACGCTGGCTAAAATTGCCGTAGATCACTCTACAACGGCGAGCTATGGCTGTATTCTTAACGGTGCTGGTGGGCGCCACGCGATATGCTCTGCTGCATGTACTTAGGTGTGGTCCCGGTGGCATGTCCAGCCAGTCCACTTTCCAGTGTCTGTGTGGCTCCTTCAATCTCTTTGGGAAACAAAACCCAGTAATGACAGCGATTACAATTTCATGTTAAAGATAATAATACAGCAGTGATAAAGCACAATTATTATTACACCGTTTCCTTTTTAAATGAAAATTTGTAAACGCATATTTTCTACTTTTTTACGATCGCTATTTTTATATTTTACCACATGCCCTAAAAAAACGAAATAAGATTGATATATTTTTGTTTTTTTATTGTTTACGCTATATTTTTTTAAAGTCATGCAGATATAATGAATGCTCCTTATCTGTAATTGAGGTCCCCTTACAATGTAACTCATTATTTATAGATCAAATGTTTGATAAATAATTTAAAATAAATCACCTATCTCTGTTTCTCTCGCCCCCACTTCCGTTCCGCCTAAATGCGGTAGCGCAGTCCACTCCCCGCCTCACGTTAAACCGCATTTATGTGCTTCCCATCATGTATCGTTTAATTTCAAGCCCCCGATTTTTTTTTTCCACGACACATCCAAAAAAAAAATCTCCTTTTTTTCACGTCCCTTTTAATTTTTTTTTCTCACGTCGATTTCTCACCTGTTTTTTTTTGTGTCCTTCGCGTGCGTTCATTTTACCCTGGGGCGGTTGACGAGCCACGCTAAATTTTGCATGCGAGAACAAATGAATGACGGAGCAAAGGAACTGTGATGGATTCTCTGTGTATGTAACGGTTGCGCATGTTGTTTTCCTCCCTTCTTTTCCCGCCTGCATGCAGGGATTTGGTTTCGTAACTTTCGAGAATAGTGCTGATGCGGACAGGGCGCGGGAGAAATTACATGGCACGATGGTAGAGGGCCGTAAAATAGAGGTGCATGTTCACATTATATTATTCTTCTTATTATTATTTATTATTATGATTTCCCTGGACAAAGTGTTCTGCTTATGCTGCTGCTGCTGCTGCCGCTACAGCTTTATGAGATGCTGTTTAACTTTTTTGGTTTGTTCCTTCGTTGTTGTTGTTGTTGTTTGTCGTCTTTTTTTTGTTCACATTTTTAGTTTTTTGTTATTTCACGCCACCCGACGCTCATACAAATTGTCTGTGACACCGAGCCACAGACTCCCCCCCTCCACCCCTCTCACTATCTAACCCCTTTGCACTCCTTTCTGACACTGAATTTACGTGGTGGGTTTCACTAAAGCAACTGACGCGTCACTGTCAATAGAATGTCGATACGACTATTTTATACGCACACAGGGTAAACATATATATGCATAGAAAATTCCGCCAAAAGACGCCAAAGATAATGCAAAAAAATTGTCCATCTTTTTTTACAACATTTTTACATGCAGGGCTGAGCATAGTTTGAAAAGTTAGTTTAAACGGCATACATATGATATACTCGTTCAAACAACTGGCAGGGTGAATGAAAAATCAAACCTCCCCCAACTACGATGCTGGGATTTTTTTGTTGTTGAAATTTGTTTGTGATTATTCTAGTCCTGCTCACCTGCCCAAAACGTAACGCTGGCTGCGGATAAATGCAAAGTCGATCTAAAATGTGTGCAATGGAAAACTCAGCCCTGTCATGTGACTGGAATGCGTGGGTGTTTTCATGAGTAGCTCCCCTGAGTAAGATGTTGCGTGTTTTTTTTTCATTTTCCATTCTCCCCTCCTCTTTGGCGGTATAGAGACAGAGTGCGCTCACGTTTTAGAAACCCTTCCAAACAATGTCTCAGTAACCATGTGGTAACCGTAAGCCTATCAGGCTGGCCGCCCGCAGTCCCCGAGGGGTAAGTAGATATGACCGCCTCAGCCCTCATGTGTAATGCTCAGACACGGCAGTGTCTTAATTATTATTTTAATTGAATCTTCTACGTGAATTTTTTTTTTTCCCATTTTTTCCTCTCTATAGAATGCTACCTTATGATCTGGTCCGTCTGTACTATGTGCTTAGCAATGCTTCCTTCCCACCCTGCCCCCTCCCCCGCCACCCATTCACCCGCCACGCACTCCTTCCTCATCACTTGTTTCGTTTGTAGCGAATGATGGGAATGATGGCTTCTCTGTGCACACCTTCAGACGGTTAACTTCATCTTTTTCAGATCAATGCGCACGCCCCCGGAATCCATACCCATTTCCTTCCCCCCCCCCCCTCCACCCACCCAACCACCGGCCACTTTTTTTCCCCTTCAGCTCCTTTTTTTTTAATCATTTTGTCAATTTTTAATTTAGCAAATTTGAAATTGTGGTGCGGCTTGAATGGACTGGTTACTACTGAATTTGGTTCTGTTTCCCGTGATGCGTTGAACGCTAGTCATGGCTTAGACACTGGAACAGACAAAAATGTGTGCGGCTCTTTCACACACGGATTCCTTGCTACATTGGTTATTTCTTCCAACCCGACCATGATGTTTTTTTTTTTTATCCCATGCCTTCCGTTGTTAATTTAAAAAAAAAAAAAGGCTGCCTTGTTTTTTTTCAGTAAAAATCATGCACGTTGATTTTTTTTTTCCACCACCTGTACGATTGGGTGCACTCCTTTCTCTTGTGGCAGTACGAGCATGAGCAGAAATTGGTCTTGCTGCATAACTCTCTTTTGTGTGTTGTGTCTTCGTAGAATTTTATTGGCAAACCAAAGTAATCGCACCGCACATTTTGCTTACGCTTCAATAAAAAGGAATAACCTCGCAGCTTGAATTCGTGTGCACACTTCTGCGTGGAGAGCACCAAACGTCACGCATGCACACAATGCGCTCGCTTTCACGTATTTAGTTTTTATACGTATATATATTTATTATTATTATTCTTAAACGCTAAAAGTTAAAGATGAAAAAAAATTAAGCAAGTAATTGCCGAGCGAATACATTTGCATGCCTCTCTCGCGACGGCGCCTGGGCCTCGGTTGACCTCGTCTCCCTGTCGCTCTCCGGCTCGCAGGTTAACAATGCAACGGCACGAGTCATGACAAACAAGAAAGCGGTCAACCCGTACGCCAACGGTGAGCAATCGGCACCGCTCGGCCGTGGATGAGCGTGCGTTCCGACGGAGCGGCGGCGGAGCGTGGCCGGCGACGTGAGAAGGCCATGCCGAGTCTTTTTTTTATTTTTTTCCTGAAAAAAAAATAAAACCATTACGAAGAAGGTTGGGATTTGCTGTGGGTTGTATACGAGCGAGAGCAGTCAGGAGCATGGCTTGACGGCGCGAGGGGTGGTGGTGGGGGGGGGTTAACATTATCCAAAACACCCCCAACACGGACCCCGAGGCGTCCGGGGAGCTTTAATTGGTGCCTGCGCACAAGACTGAGATGAATTGGGACCCGGGAATAGTGAATAGGTGCATTCATTTAAGCGGCAGGTGGGGAGGCTGCTTGTTGCAAGTGGGGGGGGGGGGGGTGGGGGGGAGACACAAAACATGAAACTAGGCTAGGGCCCTGCGCTGCGTAAATCAATGACTGCATCCGAGTTTGTCGGCAGTAGCTTGGCTGCAGGGGGTAGGCGCTCTAAATAAGCCTCCCGAAAAGCAGAACAATTAAATTGCGTTATGCCTGCAGAACAAGCGGTGTTCTCAATTGGGAGGTGGCACTGGGGTGCAGGCACAGGTTGCGGGCAAAAACCTCCACGACAATGTTTTAATATTCGGATCACTCTTTCCCCCCGTAAGAAATCCCTGCTGGCTTTGTGCAAGTGTCTGCCACTTGTGTCTTCTTCAATGCGCCGCACACCCTCGTTGCCAGCTGTGATGCGCAAGCACAAAAGGGAACCTAGTTCGGCAAATCCATCGTCCCAGTGTCTCCCACCTCCACGGTCCCTTTTTCCCTTATCATACATATCGATCACTGGGCCTTTGATGGCCCTTGCCCGAAAGAGAACGTGCTTTTTTGGCAACACTGCGTGAACTCAGCCTTCAGCGTTTTGGCACTCGGAGGCCGTTAGTGCTGCATTTCCAATGCCAGGTGGTTGATAAATATGGTTCTGATTTTAATGCACTGAAATTGCTATCCTCTGTGTATAGGAGGTGCTTTAATCTGGAAAAAAACTATTTTGGAGGTAGTTGGTGGGGAAATGTAAGCTTGTTATGAGTTAACACGAACCTGTTCTTGGATTAAGGATGCTTGCTCAGTCTTAACAATTCTAAAGAAGCCTCTGTTGACTTAATAGAATGACTTTCGCATGTGTCCAAGAGATTAGCTACATTTCCATTAACTCCCTGTAGATTATTTGGCTGCTACAAATTTCAACATGATAAGCCACTTCGTTGAGCTATCATTTGTAGCCAAGTCACTTCTGAAAAAGAACTAAGAGCTAAGTGGGCTTTACCTTTTTAAATGAATTTTTTTTTAGTTTTAATTAACGTATTTATTTTTTGTGATTTGTTTACCTTTCCTATATTTTTTCCACTCCCGTCGTTTTTTTTGTATCGTTTGTTTTTGTAACTTTCTGACCCGCCCCTGTTGGACATGCTGTAAAAAAAGAGCTTGATAGCTCATCGGATTCCTCCAGGTTAAATCTAGATTCTGATTCGTTCGGATGATTATTTTTTTTACTCTACAGGCTGGAAACTGAATCCGGTGGTTGGAGCAGTCTACGGGCCTGAGATATATGCAGGTGGGTCTCACCGAAAATCAACGTCAATGATTGTCCCCGCTCATCTCAGTGGTGCACCGCTCATAATTACACTGCGGCAATTCTGGGTGATTTCATCCAGAGGAATACTGAAGCCCGAAGCATAAGGTGGTATAGTGGTGATTCCAGCCCACCAGGGACCCCCCCCCCGCCCTGCAAAAAATAGTTTCTGGTATCCTTCACTTGACTACGAACATCATAATGCTGGGCAAGCTACTTAGCTCAATCTTTTGACAGCTGCATAAAAGGGTTAAGGTACTCGGTCAATTATAGTTATTCGTTGGTACTGTAGTGGTGTTAGAATGATGCGATAAAAAAAAAGAATAAAAATAAGGATTTGAGTTCCGGATGATATTTGGTGCAACCTTACGAATAGACAACTATTCTAATGTGTGCGTTGCCTGCGTGTGTGTTGCACGTGCGTATGTGTGTTGCATGCGTACGTTGCGCACGTGCGTTACGTGCATTGTGTTGCGTGCGTTGCGTGCGTGCGTGCACGTGTGTTGTCACGCTGCGTGTGACAGTGGCGGGCTTTCCGTACCCTGCGGTGGGAGCGGTGGCCGCGTACCGGGGAGCCCACCTGCGAGGCCGGGGCCGGGCCGTCTACAACGCGCTACGCCCAGCCCCCCCACCCCCCACCATCCCTGCATACGGAGGGTAATAATTATCAGCTGCTGCTGCTGCTGCTGCTGCCGCTTGCGTTTGCTGTCGCCCATCGATGTCCAGATCGCTAACAAAAAAAAAAGCCTGATCGCCACTTCGTCCGGGGTTCGAGTCGTCCCTTTTTCGAAGTCCACCTCCTAGACAGGTCCCAAGCTTTGTTTGTGTTAACCCCAGCGAGAGCTCCCGTCGTCGCGAGAGGCGATGTGGGCGCCCCTTTGTCGAGCAGCTCGGCAGTCGGGCTGGCGAACAAAGCAACACGGCGCCAAATCACTGCGGGGCGCCAAGTCGACCACAGTGGCACGGCCGTCCGTTAAACCTGATACGGGGAATCTGACTCAACGGGGCCTGTGCGCGAGTGTGCGCGCAGCTGCTGTGGCACGGACAATCGCGCTTACATGCAGGACGGCATTGGTGTCGCGCGCCCAATTGCTGTGTTTTTAAACCAATGGATTTTAGCAACAACTTATTCATATTCTCCGAATATAATGCCTGTTTTTGATTCCCAGTTCTGGCTTTGAATTTTCCTCTTTTGTTATACATTTGTATGCAATTTTCTAACGATGGCCGTCGGTAGCTTTAATGCCTGTTGGGTGTTTTCCTTGATCTACAAACAAATTCGTCAGAAGATCACTTCCTGAACATAGGGTTTTGACTGTGAGAGAGCTAAAAAAAAAACTTTAAATACTATTAGAAATTACACAGAAGGGGCCTGTGGTCAGTGCACACCTTATTAAGGTTGATATCCACAGCTAACCATTATTTTTGTAGAAAACAACCAAATTGCATCATCTACATAGGCACACTTTATGCCAGCATTTTCAAGGACGGGTTATTACATGCCAATGCATTATAACGTGCATGTATATACCGTCTAAATCGCAACGACACCTCAAGACACTCTACGGAAGCAGGTACATGTGCGTCACGGGGAAAAGAAGCTGTACATACACTGTGTATTTTTAGAACACTGTCGGTCATCGGTAGAGAGGACGAGGAAGGTTTTGAGCCTGGACCAAAATGGGCAGCAGGGAATTGACGGCACGGGCAGCTGGGGGAAGGGAATTCTATAGAACAAGGGTGCAGCCAGATCCCAAATCATTAATTGTTGACAACCTTATAAGATGTTAGTAATAACCCCACCATCACTACAACTTTTCCTGGTGTCCTTTGAAGGCTAAATTAATGCATTGCGATGTGAATTGCTAAATGTATTCAACGCCGTTATTTTATAGCATCGATAATCACATCAGAAGATAAATGTTCACGACTGAATTTTTCTGCACGCGCAAATATTTGCAACTCTTAATTAGCACTATCAAGGGACATGCGTTGCCATTTAATTTGTGCACATTTTATTTGCTTGAGTTAATAAACGAATAAGTAAGAATGCCACTGTCCAGCAGATAGAAAACAAATTAAGTGAGCAAAGTTACATTTCAACTGGCGTGTTGAGCCATGCTATAAATTTAGCAGATTTTTCCACGTTTTTTTTTTTGTCCGGCGATGTGTTGCATCCCCTTCTCTGTTTTTTTTTCAGGCGCTTTCAGACGCCGTGACATTTAAGCGCCCAATAAATGCAAATCCTTATCCTTAATTACCGGCCATAGCTGTGTAATAACTATGAAGCCAAGACAGGATATTGTCTAATTGTGTGCGTTACCCTGTAATTAATTGCACCGTTCGAACAATATTTGTCCACTTAAAGTGATGCACCATCGGCAATAGATCCCGATAAGTAACAGCAGGACCTTAGCTAAGCAAATATAGCGGGAAAGGCCGCAAGTTTGTTCAACCACTCCCGTCCCTGTCACACGTTACCTGCACGCGCCAATATGTGCATGTGTAAGCATGCAGTTAGAGTAAACCCCCTAACTCAGGACAACGAGCGTACAATTTATCTCAATCAACGTGGGGATGGCTGCAGAATTCGTGTACGGAATGCAGAGGGACAGGTAAAGCTCCGACCAAAACTTCTAAGTCAAACAATATTTCCACGGTGGTGGTGAGATGTTAACTACCTCGCCTGGTATGCAGGAGGTCGTGGATTTGATCCCGATCCTGACACATGTATATTTGGAATTTGCGTGTTCTCCCCGTGGCCTTGTGGCTTTTTCTCCGGGTCCTCCGGTTTTTCCCTCTACATTATGAATAAACGTGTGTTTTTTTGGTATTTGGCTGCTGTACATAGCCAAGTGATAAGGCACTTTGTTGAGCTATCATTTGTGGCCAGGTCGCTAATGAAAATTATCTATATAGCTCAGTGGACCTTACCTGGTAAAATTAAAATAGTTAAATAGTTTCTGTGTGACCTCCCCCTCCACGCTCCCCCCCCTTTACACAAAGCTTTCCATGGCCTCACAAAGATCAGCCGAGCCAACATCTGCAGGCCGTAGACAAATTCAACGTAGAACAAACACAGGTTTAATTAACAAACATCTGTCCGTGATTTCACTGCGAGCATATGGTTTGTTACGCTAATGGGTATGTGTGTGTCTTTTGTGCGAAACATTTGCAGTGTTGTTTACCAGGATGGCTTTTATGGTGCTGATATTTATGTAAGTATTAGAAGACAAAATTGTTATTGTTTTTCACTGTGGCTGGAGGGAGGTGCATCGTTCGCTTCCAGATGTGTCTGAAAACCGCTAATTGTTAATTTAATGTTCAAGACTGTTATGCAATGGCCGTACATACAGTTTATCTCTTTCTGTTTTCTGAAGGAAGGAAAATAAAACTTGATTGTAGCTCAGACGTATGGGACATTTTTTAAGTTGGCAACAGCTTTTGCACACATCAACACGCCTGGAAGAGACGCGATCACCTTCTGGCTCAAATGTTCCCACAATGTTCATACTACATTCAATGTGTTCTCTGTTTCATTATAGAATAGTGTACCCTGATCCTGTGTTTGGCAATAGATTGCCCCAGGTAGAGTATGATAGTCTTTTTGCATCGTACTTGACTTTCCTCTCATACCCTTTTGGTGTGATTTTCTTCATAAGCAAAACCACGCAGCACAACGTACTAACCTCTTCGGCTTTGTGGGCGATCGGGTGGACGAGCATGCCGTTCTGATTTGTGCAAAACGGGGTGCGGCGAATTCGTGCCGGGAATCGGTGTGTTTTCTGCAATGACGTTCCGCCACAAATCCTCCCAATCGGGGTGCCCATCAGTGGGTTTGGACAGCGTGGCTGTAAATACGGTTTAAAGGGCCTCCGGTTATCTGAAAAGGCCGGAGCCGCTTCCTCGTCAGTTAGTCGTGCTTAATAACACTTTGGGGTATATTAATTGATCCTCGCGCGGGAATTGAGTCTGGAGGCTACAAATTGCATCTGTCCTCTGCGTAAATACTACCTGGCACCTGGAATGGGGAAACAAGATTGGAAGTGATTAACCTTGGCAGAGTCAAGAGTGGGCCTGTGATGGCCCTCTAATCAGACCTCCATGCGTTCGCTCGCGTCCTTTGTCTCGCCGTTTCTCCCGCACCAAAAAATGCCCCTGTAAGCAAAACTGCAGGCGGGGGTACGAGGCGGGCTAGAAAACAACCAGACGATCATTTGACAGTCCATTTACTTTAGTGTGCGGGAATGATTATAATGCCCGTGATCAGGATGCGTTAGGCATTAATTAAATAAAGCTGACTCTTCCAAGGTTAGGACAGCACGCTTGTTTCCACGATTTCGATGGCGACAAGGGGGGACAAAAAAATCATACCTATATTTTGCTGTTGATTATAAATCACCTGCCAGAGTTTGCGTTATTAAAAACGCGATTTGATTTATACAACAGCCGAAGCCGAACGACAACTTTGATTTCCTCGCAATATGTTAAAATTATGTTAAATTCCTACGCCGCGCAACAAACATTGGCGACGTGAAATTTCGCTAACATTGTAAAAGAAAAAATATTAAAACTTCCAACAGAATGAAATCGACGGCGTTCTTAATCCTCCGCATGACAATGGGCGAGCGGCGACGTCGATTCTGAGCAGTGAAAGCGAGAGCCGGGTCCACCGGCCGTCCGAGCGGACCCCGTGGCTATCACGAGTGACAGCACTCGCAATGGGGTTGGACCAGCCCGTGGTGATTGCCCACGATTGCCCTACAGCTTCAGCTGGAACGTCTTCTCGCACACAAATTTGGAGGGCGGGTTTCAGTTTGCGTGCATCCACGCGAGTGCGTGTTCGCGAGGCTGTGCGGGAGTACATGTGTGGTCGGAAAGCGCGTCCGTACGAGCGTGACTGTGCGTGCGCGCGTTGCTGGGTGGTGCAAAAGTGGGCAATGAGCAACATCAAGGTGAATGCTCGTGGCACGGCGTCCAAATGCCTCTCGGCCGATGGCGCCGCGACACCGTCGGCACGCATGCACGGGCCTTGGCCGGCGATTCCCTCCATCGCTTCGCGAGCATCGCACCCCAATCGGTGGCGCAACTTTTGCGGAGATGCACACCATTATGGAATGGGCTGGCACGCCGGTTTTGTCCGTCTAACCAAGCACTTTGCGAGAGAGCGAGCGTGCATTTGCCCGTCGCGCACACACTACGATTCGCAAAGAGGCACGGCGCGTGTCCCGATATGACTGAAACGCGTTGACGTATTTTACCGCTGTGGTTCTTTTATTTCTTTGGCGACGGCAGGGCGGTTACACTGCTTACCGGTATGCCCAGCCGGCCGCCGCAGCCGCAGCCGCGGCCGCCTACAGCGACAGGTACGTTGCCATTCCTCACGGTTCCATTCCTCACGGTTCCATTCCTCACGGTTCCATTCCTCACGGTTCCATTCCTCACGGTTCCATTCCTCACGGTTCCATTCCTCACGGTTCCATTCCTCACGGTTCCATTCCTCACGGTTCCATTCCTCACGGTTCCATTCCTCACGGTTCCATTCCTCACGGTTCCATTCCTCACGGTTCCATTCCTCACGGTTCCATTCCTCACGGTTCCATTCCCAATAGCGGCGGCGATGGTGGCCGCCACAGCAGCCAACCGCTTTCACGGCGCTCGCTTGGCAATTACCGCGTGAACCCCCCCCCCCCTTGGTCTCAGACAAAAATCGGTGCTAATAGGCGACACTTTGTTCGAGACTCAGATGCTCAAATGAGTGCTTTGCTGCTTTATTTTTTATTACAGAGTGTGATAATGGAAATTATGTCTTCCGTGAGCCATATTAAGAACGATAATTGCTCATTAGGTTGATTCTTGCTGAGATGCGTATTAATGTCTTAAAGATAAAAAAATATATATTTTTTTTGTTACTTTAAGGAAAATATACGGGTATTGCTTCATTTTAGTAGTAAAGATATTAAGAGCGTGACGGTTCAGATAACAATGCAACACAAAAAATGTCAAGCAATCTTGCACTGGTGGATATGTGAATTGTAAGCGCTGCGTGTGAAACAGAAGTTTCGACTGAAGGATGCTTTCAGAGATTCGATTTTTTTTTACAGCAGTGGCATTAAACGCGCCGCAGGCATTTTCAGGTCACAGACTGCACACTACGAATCGCGCTACTGCAAGCTGGATAACGTTATGAGCAGGCCTCGTGTGTAATTTTTTTTGCTGGCGGGATGCACGGGGACAGTGATGAACGGTTCCAGCGTGGAGTGAATTTGTAGTCCGCTTTACACACGGCGGCGGCGGCAGCGTATGTCGTTAATGCGCCGAGTAGCGTGAGGCACTGGCCTGGCCCGCTGACAGTGATTCATACAGAAACGCCAGCCTCTGCCCAATTAAATGCACTGAGCGCATCTGAGAAAGAGGGAGAGAAAAGAGAGGAGAGAGAGAGAGAGATAAGAGGGAAGAGGAAAATGGAGAGGGGGTGGGGAGCGAGAGATAGCTCGGAGCATTATCTCCTCGCGTCAAACTGTTTGTCTGCTAGCGCGCATTTGTCCGGGCAGCGCGCATTGATTGGTGCACCCCATGCTGAGTTGACCCGGGGTCAGATAGGATTAGGGTCCCATTGCCTTGCTCACCGTGCCTCGTCCATTCTTCCATCTGCGTGCAATCTCGCCCCCCTTTTTTGTCACCTCCCGCAGCTACGGACGAGTCTATGCAGCCGCCGCAGACCCGTATCACCACGCCATTGGCCCTGCAGCCACCTATGGAGTCAGCACTATGGTCAGCTCCCCCTTCACTTAAACGTGAAATACCTGACTCCTGTTTTTTGCCGCACACTCGGGGCGCCCTGCTCGGGCCACACTTAAATCATCGTACATCTTTGCCGTGGCGACGCGACAGCCGACCAGCCAGCCAATGCTCGCCAAACAATTACCCGGGCACTTGATTAATGTCCACATCCCGGCGAGCCAGATTTTTATGCATGTTATTATATGTCAAATCTCTCGAGCCTCCTGAAGCCAAACGTGTTACTTAATTAAGATAATTGCCAGCTTTTCATAATTAAATCCAACCACAAGTGGTTTTTTTTTCCCAGCGCATGCTTTTTTTTTTTAAATGTTCGCTCAAGGAAATGAGGAATATTCGTGGGGAATGTTGTAATTTTTTTTTTAAAAACACCGTTGTCCTTTTCTAAAAACGTTGACTGGCTTTTCTCCTGCGGCCCACGCACCTTGTATTTTTTCAGGCCAGTCTTTACAGGGGAGGCTACAACCGCTTCACGCCTTACTGAATGCAAGAGAGATGCCCTTCCAGTGAGGAGATGGTTAAAGGCCTCCCTGCCATCTGAGTATTTTTTCAAGACAAGCAGTAATGTGTTGTACCTTTGACTATTATTATTTTCTTATTCTGGGTGTCCTCAAAATGTATCGTGCATCATTAAATAAGTATCATTCAGACAGCAGTTTGAACTGCGCGGTTGAAACAACGTATTCATTCATTATATGCTCATGGGTTGGCTTTTTTTTTTAACCGAAAAAGCTCGAGTGATCTTCAACGGGTGCATAATAATAATAATGAGTCGGATTTTAAATCATCACCGCCGAGATGGGTTTTTTTTGCAAATGGACGAGACTCTTCTCAAGTTCTGGACTCGATGTGTGCGCGCTCATCGCAAACACCACACGGCAAGACGCGCGAAAGTTTCAGGGAGACGAGACTCGTCCGATAATAATCTGAATTCTTCCAGGCGTGCGCGTGTGTTCATTTATACTTGCCTCGATCAAACTACCGTCTGATTATGATTCCTTAACTATGAACGATACCTTTTCAACAGACACCCTGTATTATTATAGATTTTTTTTTTGTTCATACCTCAGGAGGTTTTACTCAAACTTAAAGAATGTTTGCTCCATTCTTTTGTGATTTTTTTTTTCATTTTTTTTTGTGCGCGTGCGTGTGTGCGCGTTAACTTGATTTTCCAAAGATATTGTGCAGTTTGGCTAGTTTAAGCGTTACATGTTGTACAGTTTAGTTTTGGCGTGGCCAGGGGGAGAGTGTGTTGTCGGGGGTGAAGCCATCCATGATATGGCCTAACTGCCGAGGAAAATAAATCCACAACGACGATAATCGTTTTAAAAGCATATTATATTTAAGTCCTAATGCTGGCAACAATCATGTATACAACAATTCAGTTTCAAGTATTTAAGCCTGTGTAAAGCTTCGAAATCATTTTTCTCCCGTCATTTTAATTATATTTTTTACATCGTTCACAATTGTTTATTCACACACCAAAGCTTCTTTGTCTTGTACATATTGTGCAGGCAGTTAACTTGTTTATATATGTACTCTAACTGTAATGTCTAGCAAAACATCCGAGTGGCGTAGGATTAAATGGGGTCAAAAGATAAAATAATATCCCTAGAATTTGCGCAAAATCTAGTAGATACTAGGCCGTACTCCTACACAGTGCTTTTAAAAATGTCTAATGTCGTAAATTATTCAAGCCGCTGCTGTTATTTTTATTTTATTTTTTAAATGATATAATAACAGAGCCATGGATGAAGAGAGAAAAGAGGCGGGGGGGGGGGGGAAATCATCCTGTCGGAGACTTCCTTCTTCTGCAAACCTCGATAATAAATAATAACAAAAAAAAACAATGGTTGGGAAATATAAAGCGTGACCTTTGTCGAGGAACTGAAAATACGCGAGCAGTTAAAAGAGTGAAAGACGCGGCGTATAGTGTCTCTGTAGAATAGCTCTATAACGATTATAAAGAAAAGTACTGTACCTTTTTAATTATATGATCCATGCAATTGTATGCAAAATTTTACACTATAGTATTTTACAACTTGTTGAGTGTCGTATTTTTGGGTTGGGGAGGGAGTCAGGGCTGGGGCCGGGGTGGGTAAGGGCCGGGGTGGGTGGGGGGGGGTTGCCGGTTATGTGGGAGGGGCTGAGTTTGGAACTAAGGCGTTGGGGGTTGGGAGAAGACGAACAGGTGACGCCAGGCCAGACAAAAAAAAGGCCCTCAGTATTACACCTGGCGTTCCCAGGTGCGGAGGTGCGGTGTGTCCCCGGACCACGTTGCCGCGCACTCGAATTCATCGCTGCCTCCGATATGCTGTGCTATCGTTCCCTCTTCCAGAATTTTTTGAGTGTCGTGGGGGGGGGGGGGGTGGGGGTAAGTGTGGATATGTGGACAAGGGTTTTTGCTTTCTTCTTGCTCTTTATAGATTTTTTTTCTTTTCATGATCTCGCACCAACTGCCCGGTGTAAAAAAAAAAAAAACAAGTTTTTTAGCCTCTAATGAGCAACTGTTGGCTCCTAGCCAGCGGCTGCCCCATGCAAAGCCCAGCCAGCCTTGTGGGGGGGTTTTTTTTTTTCGTTTTCGATTAGGTTTGTTGGTGTTGTTTTATTTTGTTTCTACTGGGAGAGAGGTTGGGTTTGGAGGGTAGGGAGGTCGCGGGGGTGGGGAGGATCGGGGAGAAGTGTAATATCCTCTATGTTTACCTTTCCTGTGTATAGTAATTGTTCTCACACGCCCAGTGCCGTAACAATAACGTGCCATTGTTTACAGGCTGCACCAAACCCAGAGGAGCTTTTGTCAAGTTAATATTGTTAATAGTAATAATAACCATGATAACAAATATAATATATAGCCGGGTCTCTGCTTTCTTCCCTTTATTTTTATTTTGTTATTCTATATGCATGTACTATGATCAATTAACCAATTTATTATCAATAAAGGTATTTCTCTGGGGATGAGCTTGCATGCATCCTGGTGATTCGTGGATTAACAAACACACGGCACTCACTTCTTTTTCGGCCGCCAATCATAATGTATGGGGATGAGGGGTAGGGGGTTGGGGGGGGAAGAAGGGTGGTGGTGGTGGTGGGCGGCTGAATGGGTCCCAAACAACAGATCTTGCCGCAAATCCATCTGCTCCAGAAATTGATCGTTGGCTGTCACTGGAGGGAATGCTTTCTTGTCATACAATGGAAACCACTAAGAGAGGAGCCGCGTTGAGCCAATGCCACGGGGAGAAGGAAGGGGCCTTGACTGAGGGGTGATCCAAATGTGATTTGTTTGCACACAAGGAGAAAGCTGCAATTCCCAAGATTATTTATTTCACGAGCGCTGTGCGTTGAGCAAGACATGCAACTGTAGTGAGCCAATTAATACGAAGGCTCTAATGAGGAAATGCGTCGGCCGTGATGTGCGTTCTCATAAATAGACGTCCATACTATATTTATTTAACCTTTATGAGAAAGAGTATTTTTTGTGAATTGTTTTAAATATTTTTTTGTTCAATTCGCGAGATTACTAAAGATAATGGGCATTTTGCATATCCTGTATACAGAATATGTAGTCGGCATTACACCACTGCAGTTAGGGTCCCACATTTGGAGACTTTGCTCACAACTCCTATGTAAGTCATCCCTTGTTTATACGCCTGCTCTAGCTAGATAGACATCATCATTCTCCACTTGAATGGGAACATTATAATAGGTAAAACATGAAAATCACTGATTTAAACCATTTTCTGCTTTGTTGTGAATGGGGGGGGGGGGGGGGAAATGTGGACTTTCATTTTTACTTGTGATATAGTGTGAGATCTATGGACATCTTTTCATATGCAGAAGACGGGTTTTCAGCTTTCACTCTTTTTGAGAGGATTTAAAATAGTTTGAACAGAGATCAATGGTGGCAGTATAAGAAAACATTTTAACTGTGTGTGTAGCAGGTCCTCAGCTGTAGGCATAGTTGGGCTCTCAGGCCAGAGTTGAATGGTCGAGCCATGTAAGCTGCACATGTAGATACCGTTATACCGAAAAATACTGAGGGTGGTTCTAAGTTTAAACCTGCACTTTTGAGATAATTTGAAAATAAAGGAAACTGACCTTAACAATTTTTTTTTATGTGCCCTCCTACCACACGTACTGTACGCATTTGTCCAATCGGAGCTGTTGACGCCTTAACACCAGACGCGCATAATTATTTAGGCGCATGCACGCAGCTCTTTCAGGGCATCTGCTTTCACATTCTCCTAACTTTTTTAAATGACCCTCGTCTGTTTTTTAAACCTCTGCCGCCGCTCAAACGGACTTCTCCACGAGGGACACAAATCACCAAACTCTACGGCTGACCTGCAAATCTGAGCTGGTTTCGAATTATCCTTCACCAGAAAGTCCACTGCTGCTGTCCCACAGCACGTGACTCCAATGTTTATTACCATCTTGGAAATTACCCAGAATGCTTTGCGTGGCTGTGATCTCCCTTCACGACAGGAGTTGCCGGATGTTGCCACGACCACTGAACAAACTTTTAAGCATCAATCTGACAAATTATTTTGCGTTCATCTTGAAAGGAACAAAAAAAATCCATGTTTACCTAGAACCACCACTCTGTATGTTCAAGTTTATTTTTGTTGAAACCAGCTGAGAACTCACGAGAGCAGGACAGTCTCATTTGCAAAAGTGGCCTGGGGCGTTAGTCTGCCAGTAGGTGTGCAGTGATTTCTATTGATAGTCCCAATTGAGTAGTTTGCGGGGTTTTTTTTCGAATTTTGGTGCAAAAGTTACGTGTTTATGTTCCGGTCACTGCGGGAAGTAACGCATTTCTTGCCAACCGCCAAACAGGAGTGCTAAAACGCTCACCCCGTGCATTCTCACGTAACGTAAGTTGACGCTTTTTTGACCGGCTCTCATTATGCTGACTTGAGCGGTGTTTGCACCGATCTGGGGGCAGCTGCACATCACACACTCTTTACCTCCCCTTCTCAATGAATGTTTTGCTTTGGCCCATCTATGTATCTATCTGCGCATCAACGTTGATATCCACACCCAGCTATACACGAAAAGCTTTAACTAAGTGTGCAGCAGCTTGCGGCGAGATGCGACAGAAGGAGCATTCTCGGGACTTTGAGCCGATTGTTAAATTGATAAATTCGTCTTGTTCGCAGCTTTTGACAGAACGTGAAATAACAGGTACAAAAAACACACGTTTCATTCGTATGTTTGTTGATGATGTCTGTGCTGACGAATGTTCTATGAGAAGTTACAGCCTACTTACTTTTTAAAGGAATGCACAACCCAACAAACCAATGGCTCTTTGTCGTTACACATCCAAGCCCTTTGCGTCCCGGGCTGCCTGACACAAGCTTGAATCTTCGTTAGTGACAAAAAAAAAACCTAGACTTTGAAATTGCAGTCGCGTGCCACTCCAGCATTCTAACGATGTCAGCTCGTCTATAGGCGCGTCAAAGTGTGCGGGGAGTGACGTTACAGCGGTGACTTAATGACACGCTCGACCGTAACTTTAGAGTCTATTTTCTCATTAACGACCTTCCACAATCGCGTTTTGACAACCCGCGGACGCATTGGGGGGGTGGGGGGTGCTACGTAATAAATCTACAAAATAAGGGCTATTTGTTTTTTGGATTGAATCTTCCTTTAACTCCAATGCGATACGTGACGACGGCTTGTGTTGTGTAAAATGCAAACGATCAGGCACAAGTTCGAAATCAGAATAATCATTGTTTTAAGGAACAAAAGAAAAATAAAGTTATCTTACGGTGCATTGCGGCTTGTTTTAAAATCTATTTCAATCACTAATGCGCTAGATGGCGACGGCTCGGGGAGACCTTAATCCAGCAGTGGATTGATCATGGCTGATGCTGATGATGTTGAATGTTCAGATCCAACACCTCTGGACTCAAACTGCCCATTTCTGCACCACATCCACTCGCGTGGGATATCTCTCAGCTATCGATACCCACCTAATAATGTTGTTATCTTCCCCAAATCACCCGTATCCTTACCTTGCCCTCCCCCTGTTTCGAGTCTTTTACCCCTTTTTCTTTCACATGTGCGGCTCCTACATGATGGTGTGGATGACTTTTCTGAGCCGTTAAGATTCAGATTGTTGTATTTTATTCATGCACCCGCCAAATGTACCCAAATGTGTGAATTGCTCGCGATTTGTATCGTAAACCAGGCGTGGTCAATTTTCAGGGCAGACCAAAGTAATCCAATGAGAGTAGGAAACGAAATATGCAGAACCATCTTTTGTGTCTCCACGTATAAATAAATCAGTAAATGTGTTTTTACCTCGTCAGCCTATTGCCGCTCTCCGAGACCCAGCGTTATCCCACGATTAGCACGGTTGCCTACGTACGGTGCGAAAGAAGTTCAACATACAGTTCAACATACATTTCCAGCGTCATTTTTGTTTTAATCAAGCAAAACTGTGTTTGACTAGTTTCAACCTTCTGGGTCTCATCAGCAGTCAGGCTTGTTAAAAAAATATGCTGCCGGATTAGCATGCATGTCATTGGCAAGAGCACTGCTAATTAAAATACGGGACTCCGCTCAATGCAACAGACCACCTCGTTTCTCGAGTGTAACAGCCTCATTCCGAAATCCCCTGCGCGTAAATGATGTCGAAAAGCTAAGGCCACCAATGTGATCCGAGAGGAAGGTGTCCTGGTTTGCGAGAATGGCTCCCCGCAATTGATCGATTCCCGGTGCTTTGTTGGAGGGGGGGGGGGGAGTGAGGAACAAACCCTCTGCACTCGAAACACAAAGATCTTCGTTGTCCTTCCCCCGCACCACCGATTAGCACGGCTGTGGCTACGTACGGTGCGAAAGAAGTTCAACATACACACCTGCACCGTAATCCAAAGTAACGCGTTGCTCTCAAACCTCCCACG